TCACCCCAGAATCTGCTTCCCCCCCGGAATCCATCCCTTACCCCAGAATCTGCTCCTCCCTCCCCCGGAATCCACCCCTCACCCCAGAATCTGCTTCCCCCCCGGAATCCATCCCTTACCCCAGAATCTGCTCCTCCCTCCCCCGGAATCCACCCCTCACCCCAGAATCTGCTTCCCCCCCAGAAACCACCCCTCACCGCAGAATCTGCTTCCCTCCCCCGGAATCCACTCCCACCCCAGAATCTGCTCCCCCCGCCAAGAATCCATCCCAACCCCAGAATCTGCTTCCTTCCCCCAGAATCCACCCCACCCCAGAATCTGCTTCCCACCCCAGAATCCACCCCTCACCCCAGAAGCTGCTCCCCTCTCTCTGATAGCTTCCCCCGCTCTAGACTCAGAATCGGCCTCCAGAATCTTGGCTTTCATATAAAACTGTTTTTTAGCCCTGGTTGCACAGAAACCTTTGGAAATGTGCCACGAGGGTAACGGCTGCCTGAGTCTGTGGGGAGCCTGAATACAGAGCGCTGGGGACTGTGCAAACTGCCCTATTCATGGTGAAGAGGGATTAACTCTGAAACCTAATGATGTCCGTTCAAATGCCAGCAGTGCTGCTAACTCTCTCACCACTGCTCATTTTAGCAGTACTTCTCTCATAATCCCAAATTCTCTCCCCAGGGACCAGCCCCCTCTCCTCTCCCCTCCCCCCAAACCAGCCCCTCCACCCCCAACAGGCAGGTTGCTTCGGGAGGAGGGAGCGGGTTGGCTCCCTTGTTTCCATCTTTAGCCCGTCAAACACCCCCACCCCCACTTTGTGTGCCCTTCAGCTGCTGCACAGTTCTCTCCCTGGAGCATCCCGGACCAGGCATCCCTGCTGCAGTGTTTGCTCCGGGGTCATTGCCCTGCAAAGGATGATTAAGCTCCAGCATCTGCCCCCCGTGGTGGCTCCTGTAGGGGCAGAGCTCTGCTCTGCTCCATGTCCGTGTGTAGCCGCAGGCATTAGGTCTGGGACCTCACTGATAGGCCTCTGTGGGGTTGGCAGAGCCTCTGCCCCCTTGGGCCCCAGCTGATCTTGGCCCAGAAGTTGGCTGTTTGGAGCCACGAGCGAGCGGGAGCTGAACACGTTCCCCCAACACCTGCAGTGCATCCCCTGGGACTCGCCCAGCTCCAGAGACCGTGGAAACCAATAGGGAGGCCCCAGCTTGCAGTGCCCGCTGCTCAGCCCAGCCTGGCAGCCTCACTCGCGCATGGGGGGAGGGAGCGTCTGCACGAGGCTTCAGCCCGTGGGAGAAGACGCCAGGCCTCTTGTCCCAGCACCTGCGGGCTGGCAGGGACACGGCCACGTCCATGGGGGAGGCAGCTGCCAGGAAGGCTGGTGCTCCCCATGGCCAGTACTCACTGGTGACATACCAGATACCCCCGGGACAGGCCCAGCAAACAGCAGCACGAGCCCGCAGGGTCACACACCGTGCACGTGGACATGCAGCATGCACTGCACATGGAGCCAGTACACACAACACACAGTGCACTCGACCACACAACACTCATTGTGCGTGGACACAAACATGCAGCCCACACTGCCACATCAACATCGTTGGAGCAGGGACATGAACTTTGGTCTCCTTGTGCCCACCTGCACACACGACCCAGCCCCCGGCTACAGCGTCCCCAGCCCAGCGACTCGTTATGATTTATGCAGAGTGGCACAGTGTGGGGAGAGGAGCTTGGGAGCCCTCACCTGGGAGGGGTGAAACCCAAAGCCCTTCTCCCCACCAGGCGGGGGGATTGAACCTGGCTCCCCCACACCACAGGTGAGCGCACTAACCCCCGGCTGTAAGGGAGATGCCACCTCCACCCCGGTCTGTAACTGGCCCCTACGTCGCCCCCAAAGAATTTTAGCCAGAACTGGTTGGTGAGGTCACGGCGAATTGTCAGATAGACTCATGTCAACTAGTCAGCTGAAAAAATTAACCCAGCTCTAAGTGACACACAGAGATATTGACATGCACACAAACCCTGACATTAACACCCACCCACAGACACAGCCTGCCACTAACACACACACACACACCCTGCAATTAACACCCACCTACAGACTGCCACTAACACACACATACCCTGCCATTAACACACACCCAGACACACACCCTGTCACTATCACACACACAGACACACACACATCTTGCCACTAGCACACCCACCCACCCTGACACACACACAAATCCTCACACACACCCTGCCATTAACACCCACCCACAGACACACACCCTGACACTGACACACACACCTCACACCTGCTATGCTCGTGGGCTCACTCACTCTGACCCTTGCTCCTGGCCATGTGTTGGTCACGCCCTGGCCACGTGCCCCAGCTCCCACCTGCGCGAAGGCCTTGTCCCCACATCCCCCTCCGGCTGCACCGGGCACCATGGCTCAGCTGGCATGGCTGGCCCCCAGTGGCAGAAAGCAGCATTGGCTCCCTCCAGCCAGGGCTGTGTGCCCACTTTGTGTGTGTGTGTGTATGTGGTTGGGGGAGGGGGGCAGTGAACCCAGGGGCGCCAGGGCCCCGGTGCGTGTCCCCACAGGCAATTGCTGGGCGAGTGCCCGGCTGTGCACGTGGGTGGGGAACGGCAGGTCCCAGGGCCGCAGATGGAGCCAAACCAGCGGCTGCTGCCAGCCCATCCCCCACGGAGGGAGCCAGGCCCCGCTCCTGGCAGCATGCCTGCCCTGGGGAGAAGCTGTCACGTGCAGCTGGCCAGTGCCCAGGCTGGGAGGGAGCAGGGCATGGCAACCCCAGCCCTGCCCCACTGCACAGCCACACGGCGCCCAGTGCTCACCCCTGCCCAGCTGGGCACTACTTGGGCTCCCCTCCCTCCTGCAGCATCTCTGACCCCCCCAACCCACGCTGGCTCAAGGGCTGCCCAGGGGCAGGGCTGGGCTCTGCTCAATGTCTCAGGCTTCCTTCCCCCAGGGCCCAGGGGCAAACAGCAGGACCTGCAGGCCAGGCCTGGCTCTGGGACCAGCAGCCGGCTGCGCTGCGCCCTGAGGCAGCACCTCCACGAGGCAGCCTGGGCTCAGCAGAGTGGAGCCGGGCGGGCGTCAGTGACTGGAGGGGAGTGGGAGGACAGTAATGGGGGGGGGGAGCGAGGGGGGGGGGTCAGGGACAGAAACCAGGAGGGCAGTGACCAAGGACAGAGAGCCAGTGGGGGTGGGGCGGCTGCCGGGGAAAGGTGCTTAGGGAGAGGGAGGCCTTGGAACTGGGGAGGGGAGGAGACAGAGTTGGGGGCGGTTTCCCATGCCATGCTACCCCAGCAGGCCGTTTGACTGGGAGTGGGTGTGGGGGGAGACCGTGACAGTGCACTAACAGACCAATTGAATCCTGGGCCAGGGAGCCAGGACACCTGGGTTCTCCTCCCACTGTCTCTGTGGGTGCCCTTGCGTCCCGTCCCTGTGCCTCAGTTTCTCCCTGTACAATGGGGAGAATGGCCCTGCACTGGGTGGGGAGCCTGACAGAGAGTGGGGTGAATGAGGTGTGCCAGGAGTAGACCATGTTTTACCCCCACCTGTGCCCCCCAAGCAGGCGCCTGGATTGCACCAAGTCACTGCCCCAGAGGAGTGGCTGTCAGGTGTAGGTGGGCCCTGGGAGCGAGCGGGGGGCTGCCCCCCATTAGAGACACAAGGAGAGTGAATAAATAAATGAGGCTTTAATTTGGCCCCTAAAGTGTGCTAGTGACAGACATGTCCCAGGCACCATGGCCCTACCCCCACCCCCAGCAGCCCAACTCCACATGTGCCCCCCCGAGCTATGCCCCCAGGAGCCACAGTGCCACTTCCCTGCGCACCCTGCCAGCAGCCCAGCCCCTCGTGAGCCCCCCAGACACAGCCATGGTGGCATGACCTGGAGCTGTGGGGTGGCCATGGGCGATAGCCCAGGTGTGCATGGCTGAGGGAGGGGAAAGTGCCTACGGCAGGGGTGACACAACATCACCACGCATGGTGAAGGGGGGTTATTGAAGCCTGGGTAAAGCTGGCACCGGTGGGGCCCCCCTGCACTGGGAGCATCTCGCTGGAGTAAACGGGCACACCCGGGACAAGTAGGACACCTGGGTTCTGTGCCCTCTGACCCCAGGGCCTCTGGGCACTGGCCTATGCTGAGCACTCACAACTCCAGCGACAGGCCTCAAACAAATACCCTCCCCATGTCCAGGGCCATGAGGGACTCAGCCAATAAGACCTCGTCCACCCTACAAGGGCAGCCGGGCAAACGGGCGCAATCTCCTTGGCCCCCCAGCTGGGCCCCTCTCGGCTACGCTGGCAGCACTTTTGGGCTCCTGGCAGCTAGAGCCACGGCCCTTGGGAGCAGAGCCAGGCTGAGAAACCAACAGCCAGAGGCTCAAGTCACAGCACTGCTTGGTGCCTCAGTTTCCCTGTTTAAAAGGGTCAATCCTGTGTGGCCAGCGGGCTGGGAGGGCGCTGATCCTGTGCTAGGGAGGGGCAGGGTCAAGAGGCACGCCCTGAATTGGGGGGGCAGGACTGAGGGGGGCATTCCCTGTGGGATGGAGCAGGGCTGAGGGCCAGGCCCTATATAGAGGGGGGCAGGCTTTGTATGGGGCAGGAGGCAGTGCTGGGGTGGGGCAGTGCCAAGGCACAGGCTCTGGAACGGGGGGAAGGCCCCACACAGAGGCAGGGGTCAGGTTTGTGGGGGCTGAAGGGCAGGCCCCACACAGGGCTGGGGGATGCAGGCCTCGTGCCAGGCTGGCTGCAGGTGCTGGCACATCCTGGGCTGGGTGCTCCTCCAGGCCTGTGAGCGGCAGTGGGCAGCCCCACCCTGCCTGCTGAATCCAGAGCAGGCCATGGGGAATCACAGGGCCTGCCCCACTTATGGGTGTGACTCCCCTTCCCACCTGGTGTCTCACTCTCAGCCATGCCCAACGTTCCTGCTCCCAGCGCTGGGCCTAGCTAGGCTCCGGTGCAGACACTGGCCCAAGGTGACACTTGACAGACGGGCTAGAGCCCCAGAGGCTGCAGGTGGAACCGAATGGCCACATGCCCAGTCCCACTCCTGCCTGGCTGCAGTGTCCAGCATCTGGGCCTGCCTGGGCTCAAGCGTGAGGCTCGCGTCTGGTCCAGATGCAGGCTGGTTCTGGCCCGTTTCAGCCGTGTCCCTGGGCTGCTCTGCACAAGCGGTGCTGGCCGGGCAGGGGCTCAGCTGAGCCGAGGGGTCGGTTTTGATTCCCCAGAGCCACAGCCGGCCCAGGCCCTGGGAGCTGAGAGTGGGTTGGATTCGCTGAGTGGAAGGGAGAGGATCAAATGAGCCAGGAGCAACAAGTTTGGGCAGCTGGATCCGGCTGCAGGACTCAGCCGAGGAGTCCTTGAGCTCCTGGGGGGCAGCAGATGGGCCTGGAAAGTAGCTGGGGGGGGGGGGTTTCTGGTCCTGTGGGGTCCCGGCCCCAGCGAGGGGAGGCCCTGTCCAGTGGGGTACCCACCCCAGTGAGGGGGCCCTGGTCCAGTGGGATCCTGGCCCCAGCCAGGGGGGCCAGCCAGCAGGTCCTGACTCTGGGCTCTAGCTGATGATCTCGGAGAGCAGCGGCGTCATGGCGGTCAGGTCCTGGATGTGCAGGATCTGCCGTGTGTTCTCCACCTTGAGCGTCCGCAGCTCAGTCAGCAGCAAGAGCAGTTTTGCGTAGAGGAACCTGGGGCAGAGGGAGCTGAGCGTCAGCCCCACCTGTGGTCCTGGTGCCTGCCTGCCCCAGCAGTCGCTCTGCACCGTGGCAGGAACAGCCCCCCCACCCTGGAACTCCATTCCACACAGCCTGGGTAGAAGACAGGGGAAACTGAGGCACATGAGGGGGAATGGGCCTATCTATGCACAGGGTCAGGAACAGAACCTAGGAGCCCTGACTCCCAGCCCCTCTGCTATGGACCCACTAGACCCCACTCCCCTCCAGAGCTGGAACTAGAGCTCAGGAGTCCTGACCTGACTCCCATCCCCCGCCCCAATGGAGGTGCATGTGGCTGGAACACAGAGGGGCAGGAGGCTAGACTGAAAACCCTTGGGTGGGAGCTGGCTGGGCCCCACTGGGGAGAGGGGCTCCCAGGCTGAGCTCACCCCTTCCCTAGCTAGGGAGAGCGACCCCCAGTGCTGCACCGTCCCCGGATAAGGGCCCTTTTGCTTCCAGCTGCCCAAAGGCAAATCAACCTCTGGCTGGCTGGGGCAGAGGGGGGCTGGCTATTAGTGGTAAGGCCTTGTGCACACAAGTGTAAGCAGGGTCTGAACGAGCTCTCCCCAGACAGCAGGAGCAAACTGTATTTCCATGAACACACCTCCTGTGCAGAGGTATCCAGCAGAGAGTTGTGGAGCTCCAAGTGACCAGCTTTGGCTGGTGGTGGGTTACAAATCACCTAGTGAAATGTTGTTGTCAATGTTGTTGTCTTCATTGTATGCCTAAAGGGGAGCAGAACTGTGCTGAGCTTGTCCTGAGCGAGGAGTCACCCTCAGCTGAAAGGAACTTGCTAAGCCAGGGACTGGAAGGCCTGAGGCCTGTGGAAGTCAGAGGGGTGGTGACAGCTGTTCTAGCTAGGAGATGGGGCCTCTTCCTAAGGGTCTCTGGTCTGGTTTAACCTTTTTCTCCTCAGACCTCAATAGGCTCCATTAGGAGCCTTTTGTTATTTGAAGTACCCAAGAAGAGCAGACATCCCTTATGGTGGAGCAGTGTTTCTACCCAGCCTGCTGAGAGCTAAAAAAATCACCAAGAGACTAACCTACAGAGGTCACGGCAAATAGCAGCAGAAGGTGGGTAGCTGGCAAGAGTGGCCAGTGAAAGTGGCAACCAGTCACCTGGTGGGGGAGCCAGGTGGAGAGGAACGGGTTACTAGCAGGACAGCCAGCCAGCACAAGTGGTAAGATAGCAGAAAAACAAGAAGCACCTCTGAACCCTGGGTCCTCACTGACCAAGGACAACACCTGTGAGTGGGGTCTGGTGAGGGAACAGAGGGTGCACAGTAAAAGAACTGTTAGTTGTAGAACACAAGGACATGAGGCAGAAGGCTCTTCCCCACGCACTCTGGGGTGGGTGTCCTGCTCACAGTTTTATGGTTATGAATCCTGCTTGTGGCATTTTCCCTAATTAATGTTGTGTGACTTCCCTCCTGTCATTAAAAGTTTATTTTCTACACACAGACTCTGTGCTTGTGAGTGGGGAAGTAGAGGCGCCCATGGGGTGGTGTGTAATTGCCCCAGGTTACCAGGTGGGGGTTCGAGCTGGTTCTGTGTTCTATTGTTGAAAAGAACCCTCTAGAGCAGGGGTCTCAAACTCAAATGACCATGAGGGCCACATGAGGATTAGTACAGTGGCCCGAGGGTCGCATTACTGACACCTCCCCCACTCCACCCCTTCCATGAGGCCCCGCCCCTGCCTCTTCCCACCCCTTCCCTGCTCCCATTCCAACCCCGTCCCCAAAATCTCTACTCCAACTCTGCCCCTCCCTGTCCCCAGGAGGTGCAGGAGGGGTGTGGGGTGTGGTGGGGGCTCAGGGCAGGGAGTTGGGGTGTGGGGTGCAGGAGGGGTGAGGGGTACAGCAAGGGTGCAGGGTGCGGCGGGGGCTCAGGGCAGTGGGTTGGGGTGCAAGAAGAGTATGGGGTGTGGCAGGGGGTTCAGGGCAGGGGGTCAGGGTGCAGGGAACAGCAGGGGGTCGGGGCACAGAAGGGGTGCGGCATGTGGCTCAGGGCAGTGGGTTGGGATGCAGTAGGGGGGAAGGTTGAGGCAGGGGTCTCAGGGCAGGGTGTTTGGCTGCAGGAAGGGTTCCGGGGGCAGGATCTGGCCCGGCACGTACCAGGGGCAGGGCAGGCTCCCTGCCTGCCTGTCTGCCCTGCCCCCGCAAGAGGCTGAAACGTGGGGAAGGCGGGGCTAGGGTGACCAGATGTCCCGATTTTATAGGGACAGTCCCGATTTTTGGGTCTTTTTCTTATATAGGCTCCTATTACCCCCCACCCTCTGTCCCGATTTTTCACATGTGCTGTCTGGTCACCCTAGGGGGGGCGGAGGGGCTGTGTGTTTCTGTTGCTTGAGGCACCGCCTCCAGCAGCTCCCATTGGCCGTAGATCCCTGTTCCCGGCCAATGGGAGCTGCTGGGGGCGCTGCCTGAAGTAACAGCAACACACAGCCCCTCTGCCCCCACCTTCCCCACATTCCAGCCTCTTCCCGGAGCTGCGCAGAGCAGGGCAGGCAGGCAGGCAGCCTGCCCTGCTCCCGGTGCACGTCCGGCCGTCGCTCTGGTAAACACTAGGGGAGGGCGGGGGTGGGGGCTGCAAGGGGCTCGCGGGCTGCAGAAAATCACCCCGTGGGCCACAGGCGGCCCGCGTGTTTGAGACCCCTACCCTAGATATTGAACCCAGCCCTGGTTGCTGCCAGCTCCACCTGGCAAGAGAGTTACACAAGTATGTGCGTTGCAGGGTGTGTCATCTGAGCAGCTGCACGCAGATGGCCATGGGAGATGTACTCTTAAATGGCTGTCAAGTATCAGAGGGGTAGCCGTGTTAGTCCGGATCTGTAAAAGCAGCAAAGAGTCCTGTGGCACCTTATAGACTAACAGACATATTGGAGCATGAGCTTTCATGGGTGAATAACCACTTCGTCGGATGCATGTGTGTGTGTGTACAATTGTGTTAAATTGTGAGTGCAAGTGTAAGTAGCTGTATGATTTGTGTGTGTGTGTGTGATTTCCGGGTGCTGGGCATGGATGTGTGTGGCTGCATCGGTGTGCAGTGGCTGCGCGTGCAGACATGTGAGCGATCACAGAGGGGTCAAAGTTCTCCTTGTCCTGGGGGAGCAGCTGGGGGACTGACTCCCAGGAGAGAGACTCCAGAGCTGGGCATGAGAACCAACCCCAGCGCTTTGGAGCGGCTCAGAGCACAGAGACAGGACCTTGCAAGGGACTGCACAGGAATAAGCTCCCACAGCCTCAGGATGGGGGGGACAAGCTGGGCCTGCCCCAGCTCCCCCAGACTCGGGGGGGGGGGAGGAGAGGGCAAGCCAGGCCTGCCTCATCTCCCCCAGACTCGGGGGGGCAAGGGGGGACATGGCAAGCCGGGGCTGCCCCAGCTCTCTGTGCAACACAGGCCCGCACAGACTTTTCCATGGCTTAGGGTCTGTTTCTCTGCTGGGTTCTGCTAAGGAAGCTCTGATGGCCCTAGTGAGCCCCAGTCACAGCTCCCGGAGGGGGGTCGCAGCAGGGGCCAGCCCCAGTGGGGCCTGCTAGGACCCAGGGCTCTGGGCTGAGGATGGGGGATCTCCCCAAGAGGGGAAGGTAGCGAGGCCAGACCCCGGGGGGTGCAGGCGCTTGGGGAGACCGGAGCCATCGGTGATACTGTGAACCCAGCCACCTACAGTGACAGTTCCCACAATCCTCTCTGCCTGGACCTCCCGAGCGCTCAGCCCTGCTCCCTAGCCCCAGAGGGCATGGTGGGACCCTCTGCCCTGGCCCTGGCCCTGGCCATCTCTGGCTGCCTGCTGCCTCCCAGCCCGCTGAACAGGTGGGTGTCACTGCTAGGTCCCGGGTCCCTGAGGAACATGATACCAAGGGCACAGGAGCTCTGAGCAATCAGTCTCCGTGGCCCTGGGCCCCTGGCCTTGCCACACCCTGGAGCCCCCGTTAGGGCTCCCATGGGCCAGTGCTCAGCTCCCACTGGCCCCACATGTCAGTGTGACCCCTGCAGGTGCCAGCTGCCCCCAGCTCCTGGGAGAGCCTGGACATCCAGGCAATGGGCAGAGGTCCCGAACAGCCTCGTCCCCCAGCCAGGTCCCACCCAATGGGTTTTGCCTCTGGCCTCCCTCCCTGGGCTGCTCGCTGCACCCGCTGGGCCCAGGCTCGCTCTGATCCCACCCCACCAGCGGGGCACTGCAAGGGCTAGTGGGCAGGGCACGCCGCTGGGCCCCAGGACAGCTGGGTTCAATTCCCAGCTCAGCCACGTGACCCTGCATCAGGGCCCTGGGCCCCCTTATCTGCCCTCCAATCCCTCAATCCCCAGCCCTACAGGGGGAAGATCTCTCCCGGGGCTGGGTGAGGATAAAGCCCACCCATGAGTGACTGGCCCAGACACCTCAGAGATGGGCCGGGTACCTGCCTGGGCTCCAGGAAGGGCTCTCCCTGCCCTTCTCTGTGAGGCCACGCAGGCTGGGCCATGGTAGTGAGCACCCCCTGCTGGGCTGTTCAGTGCTTTGGGCCCTGTTCCCGCCAGGAGCCCCCTCCTGCCCCAGCTTTGCTAGTCAAGCTAGTGAGGGGCTCTCATGCACCTGCCCTTGTGGGGTCGGGAGGGGAAGAATATGGAAATTTTGGTAATATTTTTATAATTCCACTATGTGCCTCAGTTTCCCTCCAGGCATGGTGTTGCTCTGCCCTGAATGGAAAGAGCAGGAGCCATGAGGAAGCTGCCTGGGGTGACATAGGTGGGTAATTAAGGGCTGGCTGGGACCCTGGAGAGACAATGGAAACCCCGGCCATTGTCAGTGGGGGGGCTCCCAGCGGAGGTGTTAACTCAGCAGGAAGACAATGGGGGAGACAGTAGGAGGTGGCTAGGAAGAGGAACTGGGCCCGGGGTCACACACAGGCACAGGGAGCAGAGCCTGGTGTTGGCCCACGTGGCCTGTCTCTTCCCCTGTGCTGCTCTGGGCTACCTAAGACCTCCCGGTTCCATGCTCCAGGGCACCAATAAACCTGCTCTGGCTGGAAGAGGCTCCGGGTGTCGCCAAGGTGCCCAGCTCCCTGAGGAAGAGGGGACAAGTCTGGCTCAGCTGGACGGGCTGGGCAGAGCTCGCAGGGTGGAGCAGGGCGCCCGGGGCTCAGTCTTGGAGGCGGAGAGGCCATGTGGCCTGCCCTAGTGGAGAAATGGGGCCCCTGGGGGGTCTGGCACCCCCAAGGACTGGTAAAAAGCCGGGACATGGCACCCAGCCTGTGGACCCGGGACAGGGGGTCCCTTGCTCACCTGCCTTCGGGCAGCGGGTGCCGTTGGTCAATGTAGCTCTTCAGCGTGAGGGCCATCTTCTCCTGCAGCTGGTCGACGGTGTGGCGCTGGGTGATGCCAGGGTGGTCTGGGGGAAGGCAGCCCTAGCGTGAGCGTGCAGGCAGAGCAGGGGCCACATACCCTGGGGTCGGGGGCACCTGCGTGTATGTGGGGGGCTCAGTGCAGGAAGCCCAGGGGCGGGAGTTACCCTGTTGTGCAGACAGAGCAAGCCCTGGGGTGCAGGGGGCTCAGTGCCCATTGCTCAGTGCTCACCCCCTGCTCACAGGGCACAGCGACTTCCACTGGTGAAATGATGGGGCCATGGATATGCCCTTATGTGCCATCGCACTGTCCAGGGCCATGCCCATTGGGGTGGTGCAGGGCAGGAGGGCTGGGCAGGGGGCTCAGCACCCCACCTTGTTAGTGCCCATAGGAGGAGCAGGATGGGAGGCTGGACATGGGACTCAGTGCCTGTTTTGGGGCTGGGTAGGAGCTCAGTGTCTGTGGTAAGGGCTGGGAGGGATCTGAGCCCTTCAGGCTGGGCAGGTGCGTGGTGGGGGCTGGGCAGGGGAGCTCAGTGCCCATGGTGGGGGCCGGGCGGGGGGGGTTCAGTGCCTATTGTGGGGGCCAGGTTGGGGGGGCTTCGAGCCCATGGTGGGGGCCAGGTTGGGGGGGCAGGTCGGAGGTGCTTGATGCCTGAGGGGGGTGGGGAGGGCTCAGTGCCCATCGTGGTGGCTAGGTTGGGGGGGGCTTGGAGCCCATGGTGGGGGCTGGGGGGGGGGCTCAGTGCCCATGGTGGGGGCCGGGCTGGGGGGGGGGTCACTGCCCATCGTGGGAGCCAGGCGGGGGGGGGCTCAGTGCCCATCATGGGGGCCGGGGGAGGGGGGCTCGGAGCCTGTGGTGGGGGCCAGGTTGGGGGGGGCTCAGAGTCTGAGGGGGACAGGGGGGGCTCGGAGCCCACTGGGGCCGGGGGAGAGCTCACCAGGCGAGAACAGGGCGATGGCCAGCAGCAGCACGTACTCGGCCTCGTGCAGCCTCAGCTTCTTCAGGCTGATGTGGAACTTGAGCAGCGGCTCCAGGTAGATCTGCTGGAACCCAGCTGGAGACAGAGATGGGGGGTGATGGGGGAGCTACGCTGGCTGGACCAGGGCTCCCCAGTGGGGCCACGGCTCTGAGCTCAGCTGCCAGCATGCCGGGGCCCGGGGAAGTTGGGGGTGGGGGGCAGCTAGGAGAAGTGCATTGCACTGCAGGACAGGACAGGACAGGGTGGGGAAGGCCCGGCTCCTCGGGGACTGCAGCCTCCCAGCCCGGGAAGCGCAGAGAGAAGCAGGCATCTCACAGCACACGAAGACTGAGCGTGGCTGAGGGGTAGGACGCGGCTCTGCCACCCCTGCCTGGGAGACGGGCTCCAGGGCTCCTAGCCTGGCCCTGCCCTGGGAAACGTCGTCGGCCCACCTGATCTCACCCATGTCGCAGCGGGCAGCAATCCTGTGCCCCGTATGTCCTGCGGCAGCGAGTTCCTTGGGGGCAGCATTTCCATAGTGTCAGTGCTCAGCCAATCACTGCTTGGCGCTGTGCGGCGTGGGGTGCAGGGCTGTAGCTGTGTCAGTCACTATTCCAGCCCCTCCTTGCCTATGGTACCCCATAGGTTCCCCATAGGCAAGGGCACAGTGCTGCGACAGGGCGCAGGGGGAACCACGGTTCTTGTCAGGGGATTCTGGGCAGGGCAGCCCGTGTTCCCTTCCAGGACTCCCCTAGCCCAGGCCGGGCGAGCCCCTGAGGGGGACACTGGGGGGCTAGAAGCAGAGAGAAGCCGGGGCAGTTGGGCCAGCCCCTTGCGCCAGAGGGACTCACCCAGGGCGCCGTCTTGGATGGTGTAGCAGTGCTGGCCGCACTCCCAGGCCTTGGTCTCCTCGTTGAAGACCGTGTTGAACTGGATCTGGCAGATCTCCAAAGTGGCGCCTTTGAGAAGCGAAATCTGGTCATCGATCGGCAAACTCCTTCCCGGAGAGAGCGAGAGAGAGCATGAGAGCAGGCCAGGGAGCCAGGGCCATAGGCCATGTGCAAAATGGGGGCGGGGGAGGGACCCTGCGGGGGCTGGGCTTAACGGGATTCAGGGGGGTGGGGGTACACTGGGGTACAGGGGGAGCAGGGACTGGGGATCTCAGGAATGAGGCAGGGCAGGGCTTGGAGGTGGGGGTGGGAACAGGGATGCGGCAGGGCAGGGCTGGGGGGTGCAGGGGGAGCACGGATGTGGCAGGGTAGGGCTGTGGGGGTGGGGTGCAGGAGGGATGCAGCAGGGCAGGGCTGAGGGGGGTGGGGGAGCAGGGATGCGGCAGGGCAGGGCTGAGGGTGCAGTAGGGATGTGGCAGGGCTGAGGGGTGCAGGGTGCAGTAGGGATGCGGCAGGGCGGGGCTGAGGGTGCAGTAAATAAATAAATAAATGGAGATATCCCATCTCCTAGAACTGGAAGGGACCTTGAAAGGTCATCGAGTCCAGCCCCCTGCCTTCACTAGCAGGACCAAGTACTGATTTTTGCCCCAGATCCCTAAGTGGCCCCCTCAAGGATTGAACTCACAACCCTGGGTTTAGCAGGCCAATGCTAGAGCAGGGCTGAGGGGGGTGGGGGAGCAGGGATGCGGCAGGGCGGGGCTGAGGGGGTGCAGGAGGGATGCAGCAGGGTGGGGCTATCGGAGGTGCGGGGGGGAGAAGGTGCTAGCTGTGCTGAGCTGGGCGTCACTCTCAGGGTCTCAGCTCCCGTTTCCCACTCCCCCTCCAGCCAGGCAGTTTGAGCCGCCTGCCCCCAGCTGCCCCCCATGCCCACCTGGCTCCCCGGGGTGTGGGAGCCCAGCCGTGCTGACCTGAAGGCTGGGATCTCCTTGGCGAATTTGATCACTTGCTGGATGAGGACGGTGCTGAGGTCGGCGAAGTGGGGCAGCATGGAGAAGTTGTCAGGCAGCATGTCCCCCTGCAGGCTCTGCAAGGGGGGCCAGGGGGCCGCCCTCCTCAGGCTGGGAGAGCCCCCACAGGACATGGGGAACCCTGGGCTCCTGGGGGCTCTGAGGGCTCAGGCTGTGGATGTACAATCGCACCGGGGGCTGGGGAGACAGAGGCCCCAGTCAGAACCTTAGTGCTGCCGCTGTCAGTGGCACTGGCCCTGTGGAGAGGCGGCTGGCTCGGGGGTGTGGCGAGCCCCTGGTGCATTGCCCTGCGATACAGCTGAGCCTTGGACTACTGGGTATACCAGCCCCAATTCCCACACCCCGGTGGGGTGAAGCCCTGCAGACAAACCCTAGCGCCGCTTCCACAGCGTGGCTGGGGGTCCTCTGCCGAGGCTCCCTCGGGGCTGAGCTGGGACCTGGGGGTCAGAACCATATGCACAGGATCCGCAAGAACAGATGCTGCAGATGCAGGCGCAGTTGTGCTGGAGCAAGGATGGGGGATGAGGTAGTGGTAGTGGTAGGGGATGTGGACAGAAGGGAGGGGTGGGGTGGCAGGGAGGGGATGTGGGGGCTGGAGGCAAGATAGGGGTGGGGCAGAGGGGAGGGAAGGGGATGTGGGGGCAGGAGGGAGGGATGGGTCAGGACAGAGAGGCAGGGGAGGGGTGGGCAGAGGGAAGGGAGACGGGCTGAGTGGGGCAGGAGGGAGGGGTGGGATAGAGGAGAGCGGGTTGGGGCTGGGGGCAGGAGGGAGGGAGGGATGGGGTGGGGGAACAGGAGGGAGATGTGGGGCGGAGGGGAAGGGGTTAGGCTGGGGGCAGGAGAGAGGGAGGGAGGGATGGGGTGGGGGTATGGGAGGGCACCCTATGGGGAGAACAGACTCAAGCCCTGGCAGGTGTGAAACTTGTCCCGTGCCAGCACTTGGCCCAGTAACCAGCCCGATCCAATCAGGGAGCAGGAATCCCAGCATGTGACTCAGGTAGCCAATGGCAGCTGTTTTGAGGGCGGGGGAAGGGTCTGAATAGCCCCCACCCCCCAACTCGCCTAGGCTCTCCTGGTGGGGCTGGTCAGGCAGAGGCTGGGGTTGAGCAGGATCAGTGTTCAGGGGAGCTGGTTCCAGTGGGGGTGTGGCTCTAGGGGTGGTGGCCAGCCCAGTGGGGGCTGGTTCCAGCAGGGGTGTGGCTCGGGGGGCAGGTGCCTGCGGGAGGGGAGGTCTGGGGGTGAGCTGGGTTGGTGTATGGGGGGGGCTGGTTCCAGCAGGGGTGTGGCTCGGGGGGCAGGTGCCTGTGGGAGGGGAGGGCTGGGGGTGAGCTGGGTTGGTGTATGGGGACGCTGGTTCCAGCAGGGGTGTGGCTCGGGGGGCAGTGGCTGCCCTGGTGTCTGCAGGGGGTGCGGGGGTTGGGACTCTTACCCGGCAATGCACGAACTGGGAGAAGCCAGAGTCAAAGTGCCTCTTGTGGGCCTCAATGAGGCTGCTGATGAGCTGCTCCTGCTCCTCTGTCAGCTCCGCCGGCTCCTCCGCCAGCTCCCGCTCCTGCTTCTTCTGCTTCCGCAGGACCCGGCGCATCTGCAGAGCCTCCTCTGACATGATCACTGCCAGGCCATGAGCCAGGGGTGAGGGGCTTGGCCCCAGCAACGGCTCCCCAGGCCCACGCTGACAGACCCCTCCCAGCTTCCTTTCCCTCAGCCCCACCCGAGAGCCTGGGGAGCTCGGCATGGTGCTGCCCTGGCCATGGGCTCCACTGTCTGCCTTTGCTCCATGACCCGCCTGGCAAACCAGCTGGAGGGAGCGGGGCCTAGTGGGAGAGCAGGGACTGGGAGCCAGGGCTCCTGTGTTCTAATCCCAGCTCTGGGCTGGAGAGGGGTCTCGAGGGGAGAGTGGTGGAGGAGCAGGGTGGAGTCAGGACTCCTGGGTTCATCCTAGAGCCAGGAAGAAACCCCAGCCAGCCCCTGCTGTAAGCCAGAAAAGGACAGGAGTCTAGTGGGTAAAAAGGGAGGCTGAAACTAGGCTGCCAGGGTTCTCTTCCTGGCTCTGGGACGGAGAGCGGTCTAGTGGGCAGAGCAGGTGCCTGGGAGTCCAGACTCCTGGGTTCCAGCTCTCAACAGGTGCCCCTGATGTGTTTAAACTGCAGCATGCTGGAGCGCTGGGAGTCCTGGAGGAAGGGGTATTTGCCAGGGACGCGGCAGCATGTGTTAGCCGGGCGCTCAGCAGTGACGGGAGTAAGGACAGGAGAGTCACTTCCACCAGGAGCCCCCCCAGTACTATGGGACAGTTCTCCAGGAGGCCAATGCTGCCCCTGCCAGACAGGGTGGCTTTAAACACATCAGGGGCACCAGCCCCCTTCTCTGAGCTGGGGCTGTACGGGCGGGGCTCAGGGCCGGGCAGGCAGACTCTGCAGAGCCGTTAACTGGATTCAGATAGCGGATACTTGCTGCAAATCAGAGACCTTGGCTGCTCCACAGGGGAAGCACAAAGCAGTCCAGCGAGCTATCCATGCACGCCCCCCCCGCTGC